TATTGACTAATGGTCCAAAAAAAGCATTAGGGTTAGGTGATCATATAGCCAAGCACTTGTTAAAACCGCTTAAACTTGAGACTTATGTAGCCTAAAACCTTTTTTCATAGTATATTAATGTATAAAAATAATCTATACATAGCATCGGTTGCTTGTGGATAAATTAGCTACATAAGCCTTTAATTCAGAAACATAAAGTGGAACTGGAACATGAATTTATAATGGGTAAAAAACGGAAGAAGGGGAATTTTGCCTCCTCATTTTAAGAAGACCAGCGAATACCACTGCACTAGTTGCAAATCTTATGTGATAGTTTTTAAGAAAGAAGGAGAGTCTGGAAAGTTCCTCTGAGGAGAGCTTTCACGCGCGCCGCTAGTGTGAGTGACACGAGCTTTGCTGGAGAGAGCCGTGGGTTTGTGACGCACGGGTGACCACTGAGCTGCGCGAGGTGCTCAGGATCAGTTCAGTTCAGCGCGGAAACACCGGAGAGCGACAAGTAGCCTACGCCAGTAATGTTGGGCTCAGAGGACCACGGAGAGACTCGTAAACGAAACGGTACCGGTAAGCGCTTTTTCATTCACTACACTTTTATCATGACTGTCGGTTTAGATTGAAACGGCAGGTGTTTGACCAAACCGAAAGAAGGATAAGTTTGGATGCGCGAATGACATGCTGTCAGACGAACAAATTATTTACGTTATATCTGTGAAATTAGTTTATCTTGCGGGAATGTTGAAGTGTATAAAAAGTATGACGGAGATATTGTAGAGGGAATTATTTTGAATTTCAAAGCTTTCTTTTTTTGGTCGTTTTTCGCCGAGCTCTGTGATAAAGCATTGCTACTAAGTCATGTTTACTTTGCTGTCAAAATAGGCAATATTGCTCTGGAATCCTGAAAATGGATGAAACTTCAGTGAAATGCCGCGTGAGAGCTCATTGCTTGCCCCGTCATGATGAATGTGCATTGACATTTATCATATTTTTCAGTTCATTGATTTTATTACAAGCACATTAAGGGGAAATAGAAGGAGGGTCTTGGTTTCCCCATCATAACTTAGAAAAGTATAACCTGTAGTTTTTTATATATGCTTTTTATGTGTAATATTCTCTGACCATACTGTAGTTTATCATATTTGAACTATATTTGCTGCCTTGTGTGTGTTTTACTGAAAACATTTAGGGTAAAGTAAAAAAAAAAAACAGCAAACACATTCCATTCCATTCCAGTCCTTAAGTTTGGCATATTGGTTTGTTCGCTGTGCTGCAAATCTGACATACATGACATGCTGCAAACGATGACCCAACAGCAGTTTAAACGCTTATCTTAAAAATGACAACATGATTATTTCATCAGGCATTCTAGTAAATGTGCTTAAAACGGGAGTTGTACTTGTCCTGTTTGAAATATCCATCAGGATGTACCACCATGGTTGTGAGATGGAACTAGCCCACAACCCTACCTCAACCCCTAAAACATGCATTAGGTGGATATAGTGTGGGTTGGTCATTCTAGAGATAAGTCCATTTCACCGGTTTGGTCTGAACTGTTGTTTGCATGTTTTCTGTCTTAATTTGAGTTGATTTGGCATCCAGTAGATACACAGGATTGTCCACTTTCTAAGAGCAAAAAAATACTTGGACTAAGAGAGTCATTCTTCTGAAGAGGGATTTAAATATGATCATTTTCTGGTTAGCTTATTCACTTTATATGTGTATTTGGTGTCGTTTTTGAATGCTGAATGATTCAGTTTTGGTATTTGATCTTATTTAGATGAATAAATTTGGCTTTGAAATATTCACTTTTAGAGAGATGTCCATGCCTTTACATTTCAAATCTTTCCTTCGCTCATGATCCTTAATCATAATTTGAAATTGCTGAACACCAATTTTCCACATTTCACAGTGCGAGAGTGAAAGCTCGTTCTGCATCGCATAGCAGATGTGTGGATCAGAGATGCTCATCTGTCTCTAGAGGCAATACGAGAGATGATGCATAGACTCAGCCAGTCTATTTGTCCACTCTGACGGGTCTGATATTGACAAATGAAGACCATTTTAAAATGTATTCAGTGCCTTACTTTTTTCTTTACTGCTTTTTCCCACCTCTTTCATTATGTGCGTATATGTATGTCTGTCACGGGTGTGGTAAAAATAAAGGCCTTTTTGAAAAGCTTTGTTACATATCAGGAAGGAAACTGCTTACAATTTAAAGCAATGCTTGGCCTATTTCAAGCACAGACTTTTTGAAGAACACAATAACTCTAAATAACATGAAACACCTCTTCTCCTCGAGCTGCGTGACTCCTAGTGAATGCCACATTGTGATCTAAGAGAGGAAGTGCTT